TGAGGGGGAGATAGAGGGAGACAGAGAGAGAGGGGGACAGTCGTGAGGTGGCCGCGTATCGTGAAACGTCATTCTCACCAGCTGATATTTAGGTCATGTTAACAGTCGCGACGCGACTGGCGGGAGCATTATTAACGAAATGTAACGCTCAATAGAAACCGGTGTATCCGCCCACGCACGTACACACGAATACATGCGCTCGCACATACGTCAAGGTTAGTGACACGTTCTTATCTCGAGGAATTACCGACGTGCCAAGATCCACCACCGCTCAAGCTGTACGATTTGTCATCGTCGACAATGCTTTTATATCGCGAAAGCAGAAAAAAATCTGAAATAGGAAATAATAAAGGTTTCTTAGAATCTTTTCAATTGCGAACATTGTACGAAAATCTTGCGGTAAAAGAGGAACAAAAATTTCTTAACAAATAAATTCGAGATTACGCTCGCCGTGCGTGTTAATTTATGGCATCATTATTTAGGTTGATTAATACGAAAATAATAGACCTGCTCATATAGCACATGATATAATTCACACATCTCTTTTCGATAATATCGAGAAGAATGAATACGGAATATAATGTTGGATACACATTTGTTTATGAATTTCAAATTAAACCTCTTGACAAAAAAATATTTACACGATTAAAAACAGGAGAGATAAAAATCTTTGTAAAAAAGTTGCGGACTATAATGAAAAATAATATGACACGAATTTAAAATACCAATTCCAGACGCCTGACTCATTTACAACTTAATCGTGGCGTAACATTATGTACGAAGCAAGTGGACATTAAGAAGGGACGCTTTATAGACGTGTCGGCTTCACGAATTAAACCGGCCTTCGCGTGCTTTTCTAAGCGACTTCTCAAATTCGTTCTGCTTATTACATGACTAGTAATAATGCGATCGCCAATCGTCAACATGACACAATAGACGAGCAACAAGAAATTATTATTTATTCCATCAAGTGATGTTTTATTTACGAATCAACTTTAATAAGATAACTGCTCTTTCTATAGTGTCCCTTTCGCAATCGCGTTCCCACGCAAATGTGATATCACGCAAATATCGCGAGCAAGAAGTACGGATGTGCAAATTGTAGCAGAATCCGCGAATTTATCCCCCGAATTCGGAGCAGCGCGCTCAGAGCGGCGTAAGAATTAATTCAATCATATTATATTCATACCCGCGTTACTCGTTACGTTTGACAAACGACAGTGGTGGAGCGCGATGCCTCGCTCGTAGGGTGTAACGAACAGAACTTTAGTTCTAATGCGACGCATGAGCGCAGTTCTCTGTACCTAAGCAACTGAATTGACGCGAAATATATACCGCGAAACATTATTTCCAGACGAAGTGGCTTGTAACGTTTTCGGCTCTGAGTTTGGCAAACTCGTATCCGGACTCACAGTCCGCAGGATCATTAACCGATTTCGTCGGATAGGAAATTAAAACCGCAAAATACAAAATTATATTTATTGTCAAAATACACACTTTTGCGACATCAAGTTTTCACGATTAAAAATCGTTTACCGTTTATCGTCGCCGTTGACGCACACTTTGAGCTGCACAGCGTTTTAATTCGCCGATTGTAAACGTACCTTTGACCGGCGTCGAATCGAAAGAAAGGGAGGCTTCGCATTTTTGCGCGGCTGAAAATCGCGCAACTCGGAGAAAGTAATTAGTTGGGTGAAACGGGAGCACAGTTTAAAGTATTTTTTTTTTTTTGCTCGCAACCAAAGCCACGGTGGAGCGATGCACGAATGAAGAAAGAGGAGGAGGGGAAGGAAGGAGAGGGAGAGAAGTGGAGTGCAATATTGACGCGAACAGGGGCTCGGATACGCCGTTATCTGCCAACCCCCGACACACACACTTTTCGTCCTGTAAAATTGCTTCCCGAGAGCTTTCACGGGCCTTTTTCCAGCGTCTGGCACACACGTGCAATCAACGCGTGTCATGACTCTCGCCCCTGTTATAATATCATACGATCAGAGAGAGATGCATGCGCGATATTCGTTAATATTCAACTTAAAAAGAAGCCGGATAAAACTCGATCTGTATTTTGTATCGGTAGTCATTAATGCACTGAGAAAAAATCTGGTTGTATTAATTAGAATTCTGGTAGATTCAGCCAGTATGTTTTGTTGGACGAACCAGAATTCTTGTAGGAATTATCTAATTTTCTTGGATAAATCTGATTAATTTCTTCCTGTTAAATTTATCAAATTTTCTGGTTAATAATACTAAACTCGCCAGCACCAAGTCGTCTAAGATTTTTTCCATCTAATCTCAAAAGTCTGTTTAATATTCTCAATTCCAACAAGATTATTGGATAAATTCAAGATTATTGAATAAATTATTTTAAATTTAGTTGTTAGAAATTGAATAAATTATTTTAAATTTATTTGTTAGAAATTAAACTGATAAACAGTGATGCAAGAAGAGGATGCAGCTCAAACACGCACAATCAGAGAGCTAGCGTCTTCTTTCTGACACTACTGCTCGTAAGAGAAAAAAAAATATATTTTGGATTTAATGTTAATACTAGTTCTTTATATACATTTTTTGGCAAATATTGAATACGAGTTAAGTTAAGAAGCAAGCAAAGAAATTAATGTAACAAGAAATTTTATAGACCAACAACCAGAAAATACTAACCAAATCCTTATAGTAAAATCTACTAAACGTTCTAGTTATAAAAAATCGAGTCTTATCATGATAACTAGAAATTCTTGTTTAACCAAAATTTAACCAAAATGCCTTCAAGCATATACGTCTTGTTGGTACAATCAAATGATTTTTCTCAGTGCGCAAATATTAATCTGAAAATGTGATAATAAATTTTTACACAACGTAAAGGTCATCATAAATTTGAAACGACAATCGCGATATGCCTGCCGCGAGTCTCCTTATTATCGCACAATTATGGATCTTACATTTTGTCGAGATCATCAAGGAGATGATTGGCAACGGGGAGTTTAGCTCCCTTTATACCTAGTATAACGTACTTCATTCCGCGGAACGTAAAAGGGGAGGACGGAATCCGGGGTTGCCGGGTATCGAGGAGACGCCATCCACCTTTACAACGAGCATGATGCTGGTCCTGCGATTGGCGGGAGGATGCTGCGGGTAGAGAAGGCTGACGGAATATCGTATTACATCTGCAGAAGACGCGGGATTATTTGAGCTCGGGTCTTGGAAGGGACAGAGGGGGGAAGGGGGAGATGGGGGGGAGAGGACGAGAGGAGAGAGCCAGAGGGAAACGTAGAGCGGCCGATTCTCTATTAGAGGGTAATACGTATTATCGATTTTTTGGGATGAAAACGGTAGGTTATCCCGGTTCAAATCATGACAAATGTAGAGATATACACCGACGCGCGCGCAACCGTGCGCTCTTGGTCGTGTGCGTTCGTCGATTGAAGCGCTTCTCTCGCGACCGCACCCTGGGAAAACTTTTTCCAATCTCTCTCTCCTCTCCTCTCCTTCTCCTTTTCTTCCCCCCGCCTTACGTCGCTGCCGCCGTGAATTTGTTTGCCCGGTCGAAAACAGGGTCGGCGACTTGAAGATCTCGCAGAAATCCCCGCCGACGAGAAGTAGCTCGTGCCTAAGCGGATTCCTGAATCTTTGAAATCCAGCGATAATTGCTTCGAGTTGCTTTCTGTCGTATTTCGAATAATCGAAATACGACAAATAGGAGTCAATCGTGAGGGTACATTGTCAATTCTCGAGATTTGTCGAATGTTTGTCAAATTGATAACTACTAAATTTTTAAAAAAATTCGCGGAAAATAATTATATCTCGTAATAACAAACTAGACATAAGAATCAAAACTGTGAGCGTTACTAAATTAATAATTAATGATTATGTTATTGAATGAATAGTAATCAGGAATATATAGAAGTAATCCAGATTAAGCTTTCATTATTAATTACCATTAAATTACAAATTATTCAACAAAAAATTACCATTTTTGATTATGATTAATTCAAAATAAATTTAAATATACTGATGTATGTTATACTTTATTGAATGGTAATATCTTTTACATATGTTTTATTATATGATTATCGTTTACTAATTAACAATTAATAATTAAACTTAAAATGATTATTTAATTAATGATTTTAATTACGTTCTCTTTATTAATTAATCATTAGGATTATGAGTCACTCTCCAGCATTCATAAAAACATGTATATAAAACGCGTTACAACATATACGAAATATTATTTACATATGAAATATAATTTATATATATATAATATAAAATGCAATATTTTATGCATATATAATATAAAATGCAATATTTTTATATAAAAAAATCTGTGAACCACCTAAAATATTGTTACTATACTCATAATGCGTGCCTTGTAATGTTCTAATATACGTATATATTTGAAGAATTTGATTGCGACCAGAGACTACTTGGAACACCTTGTCGTGCATAGAATCACGTGCTATCGGTCTTTCGATTCGGGAGACGATTCGCTCGTCGCGAAATTTACGAGCCGTCAGAATCCGGCTCCCCGCGAAACAAAACGGCCCGTCGTGGGTCGTCGTCGGCGATCCGTACAAAGACGGCAGCTGAAAAAGCATCGCAAGTATTGACAGATACGGTGAGAAACTGCTCGGGTTAATCGTAGAAAAAACTATGGAATCGAGCTCGGCGACATCAGCGACGAGTTAAATACCTCGGTTCGGTTTCGTGCCGAGCAGCGGTACAGAAAAAGCTGCTGTCTTTCAAGCAAAACCAGGAGCTGTTTTCTCGCTAAAGTTGATCAGTCGGCGATCAATACTATCAATCGAACTATAAAGTAAAGGGCAAAATAATAAAATTATATACAAATAATTAAAGAAAATTGGAAGAATAATACAATATAATTTATCTCTCTTGAAAATTGTGTATCGCGCGGACAGATTTATATAAAGTTCTACTTCTTCATTTTTCTCTACAGAATCCGCGAAAACTGACGATCACATCCCGTCTTCTTGTTCCAGCAACAGAAATACCTCAAGAGGACGGCCGAGGATTTGGAGCCTGCCGGTGCTGGCAGCGGCGATGGCGGCTTCGGCGAACCGCCCGTCAAGCTGCAATGCACGCAGGGTCAGCATCAGCATCAGCAGGCCCCGAGCGCCGGTGGTGGCGGTGGGCCCCATCACGGCCACGGTCAGCATCAACCCGGAAACGGTGCGAATTCGACGGGCCCGGCGCCCGGCGGCGGGGGTGGTACTGGTAGCGGTGACGGGAACGAGGGTCTCACCAAGTTCCAGGTACAGATCGTTCAGCAACTGGAATTCACGACCTCGGCGGCGAATAACTCGCAGGCGCAGGCAATCTCGACAAACGTAACAGTTAAAGCACTAACGAACGCGTCTGTCAAGAGCGAGCATCTGCTAAATGCATCCTCCTCGCCGAAACCCGGTCCAGATCCGACGTCTGCATCCGCTGCGTCCAGGCCGCAGGCCGGAAATGGCAACGGACCTGGTGGTCCCGGGCCCGGCGCGGGTGGCGGACCTGTTCCCGGTGGCGCCGGTGGCAGCGGTGGGATCGGTTGCGTCGACATCGGTAACCTAGTTGAATGTAAACAGGAACCCGACAACGAATTCGTGGATCTGGAACAGTGCGCGGCCGCGCTGGAGAAGGATGCCGCGGCGAATGGCACCGGCTTTCCCGGCTTTTCCGAGTTTATGGGCGACGACACCGGCGACGAGATTATCACGTCTGACGCATTCAAGGATCTCATCTCCGAGATATCGGATTTCCACCCGGAGTTTATGAAGGACTTCGACTTTGAGGACAAGAGCGTGGACACGTTGGCGAATAACGCCGCGGCGGCGGCCGCCGCCGCCGCGGCCGCTGCTGCCAACAACAACAATAATAGCAACAACAACAACAATGGGCTCCCAACGACGAACAACGGACAGATCAAGATCGAGGATGACAAGGACGCGATGCATCCGCAGCAGCAACAGCAGCAGCACCCGAACAGCGCGAACAACGGTGTCAATAGCAACAACGTCGGTAACAACAACGGCAACGCGATGCCGGCCAACTCGAGCCCGGGCGCTCTAGGTTCCTCGCAATTCTCGCCCGCGCGACTTCCCTATTCCGGCCTGGATTTCAAGTCGGAGATGAGTCCCGCGGCCCAGACGCTCAAGCAGATGGCCGAGCAGCATCAGCACAAGAGTCAACAACTAGGTCTGGGCGGATTTAACCCTACGGCGGCCGCAGCGGCTGCAGCGGCGCGAGGTCCAACAGCGAGGTCCCCCTACGCCGAGTTTTCCCAGTTTGGCGCGTCCGATTACCTCGGCAGTCCTGGCAGCACGGGTCCAACCGGTGGACAGACTCAGTCCGCGGCCACCGGAACCGGCTCTTATCACAAGAATAACGGTACACCGACTTTCGGGAACCAGCAGACGAACGACATGTTCGTCGGCTCGCAGTCGCAGTTTGCCGCGGCGGGCCTGACGGACATGAAGAGGCCTCAACCGGCTACGACGGGCGGCAAGCCTGGCATGCTCGGACCCAGCGGCGGTTACAAGCAGCAATACTCGCCGTACGGTAGCCCGGGTTCTATGCCGAATCACGGGAGTCCGGGATACCCGCTGCCACCCAGAGGATCCCAAGGCGGTGGACCGAACCAGACTGGCTCGCAAGGACCTTTCAACACCAACTCCACGCCGCCGAGACCTCCTTCGGGACCCGGAACTTCCACCCTGCAGATCAATCAAGCGCAGCAACTGCACATCAGTAACCAGATACAAGTAAGTGAAATGTTATTTGCATGAAATCGATTTTCATATAGAAAAGAATTATTCTACGGGGTGTCGACTTTATTTTTGTAGGAATCGCCGTATGCGTTCATTGTTTTGCGTTTGTATATTTTTGTTTTCCAAAAAAAAATTCTCGTCATGCGCGTAATTTTTTGTAAACTGAATAATCAGGCACAAAAGTGTACTAACGGTAGTTTATCATTACTATATATCGTGCGTATATATCCTTTTGGAGTCTCAATCGTAAATAAGCTGTAAATAAAATTTGCTGAACGTTGAACCGCTCGAATTAAGCAGATTCCCCCCCGGATTAAGCAAAGTTTCTTCGAAAGTTACCGCGTATATCTTGCTCAACGAAGAGATAGAACTCGCATCGAGTTTCGACATGGCAAAATTTCTCGATCAGCGGGACGCCAATCGCCGGTATCGCGGCAATCAAGACGAACGGCTGAAGGCGAAGCTACACCGAGAGAGCCACTCGAGGCCGAACCGAGTGATATCTGTTGCGCCGCGACGACGCGTCTATTTTTGTCGGCGGCATCGCGGGGCGTCGTTGGCGACGACGGCGTCGTCGAGGGGGTGGCGGCGGCGGCGGCGGCGGGGGCGGCGTTGTCGGTCGTCGATGAAACGGGGGGGGAGTAGGGGAGGGGGAGGGGGCGCCGGCGTCACGGGGGCGCCGCGACGCGCAACAAGTAGTCTCGTTTCTCCCGCCACACCGCCGACGGTTCCTCTTTATAAATTTTCCCTCTCGCCAGAGAGTCCACCCCTGCTCTCGCAAGCTCCTCTCTCTCTCTCTCTCTCTCTCTTTCTCTTTCTCTTTCTCTCTCTCTCTCTCTTTCTCTGCGCCGACGCTTCTGGACGGGCGGGGGGGGGGGATTAAGGGGTGGTGGAGTGGGACGAGAGAAAGAGAGACGCAGCGAGGGGTGGTTGCGCACAGCCGGCGTCGCGACGCCACCGCCGTCTGCTCGATTTAACCTGCGCCTGCAATCCGCGTCAATACGCTCCGGAGTGGTTAGTCGCGGGGCTGCGCTCGTAACAATACGCACGCGACGCCGTCGTCACGCAACGGACTCGTCGGCAGCGAGATAGCCCCCGTTTTCCATCCGTACAAAGGATTTCACCTGGATGGATGAAAAGAATCGCTCGATGCGCGGAGAGCCCGATTCAATCCGCAACGTTGCACGGCTTGAATGCGGCTCTCTGAATAAACTGTCAATGAATACATCCACGTGGATGTATCTCTCGTGTAAACAATGGAAATTAATTGTTAGGAACGCCGTCGCGATAATCGAGCCGACTCGTTATTCATCCAATTCGATAATTATAATAACGATATAAAATTTACAATGTACGCCATCTTTTCAATTTAACGAGCGTATTCGAGTTGATCCGCGAAAGATTCAGGGATGATCGGGCCGCAATTTACGGTTCTCTGTCAGATCGTGGGAAACTCATATGGTCAGGCGCGGTCTTTCACGTCCGAGTCCGAGGGAACTTGCTGACCGAGAGAAAATCGGTGGTTCTCCGGCACCGCACGCGAGATACCCCACGCTATAAAATCCCCGGTCCATTGTGGCGGCTGCTCGGACAGGTCTTATCTGCTCGTACCCCGAACGGATTTGGATTCGGAAGCGCTCCTAGTTCGCCCAGCTCTCGCACGAGCACGTTCCTCCCTCTCGTAAATCACGTAAGGTGGCGTGTATTTGCATCTCAATGCGACGCGGCGAATGAAGCTTCTTTTTTCTCTTTAACCGGAAGATCAACCATTCTCTCCGGCCCTCTCCATTTTCCCGTAGACGCTTTTCTTTCGTACTTTATGTTATCGCCTATTTTCATTCTTACGCGACTACGCGTTACTTTTCCCATCTCGTCCGAATCGCTCGAGCGCAATATTGTCCGTATAAATATCATTGCGGAATAACGACGTCATTAATATCAGTAATATGTTAGAGAATTCCTGCGATTAACGGAGATTCGCTGCACGATAATGAGGATCAGCGCGCGCCACATTTATATAATTCGCACAGTTATATAATTAATCATTCTCCAACGGTTCTGAATCATTGAACCTTCTCTTCCGTAGATGCCAATGCGATTCGATTTTAGATTTTGTTACCGGCGAATTATTAGCGAAGTTCATAAAAAAAAAAGAAAAGGATCTAAACGAAATAATCGGAATTCAATGCGGAACTTCCGCGCAAAATCGTGCACGAATCTCGAATATCGAATCGTAATTAAAAGCACAAACGATATAGAATCTGCTTTTCTCGATATAAGTCTTTTGCGAAAAAGAATTTTTTACAGCGTATCGATTGTATCATTTAATTGGAAAACTCTAAATTTTACTTGAGTATTCATTGTGTCGAGCAATCGATTTACATGTTGACTTTCCCACGTTTTTTTCGTGTCATCAAAGATCATGGGATCAATGTTGTTATTGAGATAGTATCGTTCGCTTATCAAAACCTTCGATATCAAACATATTTTAGAATCGCGCACAATCAAATACAACGAATCTTTTCTCGAATGTAAATCTCGAAGGGAAAGTTCGCAAGAACTGAATGCATATTAGAATTTAATCGAAAAATCGATCCGTTTATGATACCATTTAATTGCTTTTATTGTTAAAGTTATCATACGATGCTCACTTTATCGGCTAACAGAATAATTCTTTATTTATATATACACATTACATTGGATATAGAAATTAACCGCGCGATAGGAAGCAACAAAAGTGTAGCCGTGGGCAGGGAAAATGAACGTTACTGAAATGTCGTGCAAATCAAACATGCCACGACGTAATTCGTAAAACTCATTCGGTAAATATCACGCGGTCGATACGATTTGCAAAGCATAGCCCATTTTCCCCCCTGCTACCCTTTCCCTTCCCCACTCGGTGAAAGGGCGTGTATGTTGTGGACGTTAAGCGCCTTTTCCAAAACGTTCAACCGCGACGCATTCAATGATCGCGAATATTAATTCACCGCTAATTACGATAATCGAGGATCGCGATGTCGCAACAAACGGATAAGCTCAATAAGAATTTATCACCGAAACTCGTTATCAATCTGTAATCACGGAATACGCGCTACTGGTCCGTCTAATCGATGTACAGAGGCAAAAAAAGCCGAGTATTTTCCGGCCAAGTATCTTCCAAGAGGAAAAGAATAACGTGGAATGGATTTCGTGGAATTTTCTTCGTATCGCAAACTATGCCGGAAATTTCACGCAGATGAAAACGCTTCCGACGAGGGTGCAGCGTTCACTTGGGTATTCATCGCGTACATACTTTCCTCTCCTTAGTAAGCGGTACATGTTTATGAGTTGAAAGTTAACCGGAATTATTAATTGCCAGTTAAGTAACATCGATTTATTTCTTCTCCTACATTCTTGTAGGTGAAAATTCCGAGGCGATTTTTCACGCTGTTATTAAACTGTCGTTGATATTGATTCTTATACTTGATCCGGAAATCATTAATTCCCTCGATCACTAAGTCGATATCCTGTTCGGATAACATCGTCAGATGTTTGTCGTTAAAATAAAGCGGAGCGATCGCATCGGTTGGTAACCCTGTCTTCACCTATGCAAAGTAGCATCCGCGGATTAATTGACGAAATATTCAAATTGTCGATTCCGAGACACGTATCAGGGCTCGGTCACGTCGCGCATTCAAATGATAATGTGACTACGAGCGTGCGAGCTTCCTCTTTCTTCCTGGAATTGACACCTTTTCCGTCCCTTCGCTCGTCGTCGAGGAAATCGGTGAAATACCGACGATTTACCAAAGGGGTTATCTGTCAATCTGCATATTATATTAAAGGCCTTTTTATCGAAAAGGAAGTCCTTCATTTGTGACAAAGTCCAGTCAAGCTCCCGTCAAGCACTTTAAATTGACAGTTCGCTCTCTTGTCAAACTTGAGATATCTTATTCGTTGTCAACTTTTCTCATGTTGGCGACGATTACGGATTCTTGCTGCTCGCTGATTAAAAAAATGCATCGGTATTTCGCATATCGATGCACGGGTGGTATCGTGTTTTTTTAGCAGGAACAAACACTATGAACTTATACGCGATGCGTGTATTATAGAATCGCCGTTTGGTGTGCAACGTTGTTCTCAATTTGTTTCTACACCGCGCGTGTACCACTTGAAACGTGATTCGTTAATGAAACAGCACTCGTTCGTTGTCGAGCCGATTTTCGCGCTCGAAATATCTCGCATTATTCAACGCGCAGAGACGCGAGATGCGGCGCATCAAGCATCACCCTCGCTGTTAATTTGCCGAAACATATGATTGACTTTCCAACCGAAGCTCGAGCGTATTTTCGATATGTATTATCGCTCTCATACGACGTGACGAGGCCATTCTTTCGTGTTTTTAAATCACCTCGATTAATCTACTAAATCCAAAATGGAATATTTTACGCACAAACAACGCTTGGAAATATCTCTCCGCTGGAACATTTAACGCGGCGCTCGAGAAAATCGACGTTGCACGGCTGCGATAAATCGCTACGCGACTGCCAGCCTGGTTGTAAATTAACGCCGCGCTCTTATCGAAGAAGAAGTCCGCGTAATCGCCGCGTCGTCGCTTGCAAATTGCAACGAAACGTCGTACAATCCGTGCAATTCCTGTCGCGTCAAACGTTCCACAATCGTAAATGTGTGAATACGTGGTTCGCTCGTAGTAAACGGATGGCTCACGTGCAGATACTACCGCTGTTACTTCGCGTACCGGTCTAGCGCATGAGATCCACTTTAGCCACCGTGTATATACGTCTCTTGGGTATCTTACATACCTCAAGTAATTTGATAATACAAGATATTAATTTTCTCATTAAAATTGAAATTCGTCACACGTGTCGCAGACTTTTTCCGTAAATTCAGCTTCCTTCCTTTCGACTTGACTTTTTGTAAAACATTTTGATTAATAATTGTATAAAATTCATTTCGAAACGGTTGATTTTAAAGCCTGAACGATGACACGATAC